AAAAAAAAAAGGGGGGGGGGGAAACAGGCTGACTGGTATGTAAATATCTTATCTTGTGTCTCCGGAGGTTTGCAAGCCAAATGAGAGAGAGGGTGTGTGAGAGTGTTGCAGGTGGTGGGCTTTCATAATGGTAACTGTCACTCTTTGTTTAACACGCCGAGTGCGAGAGAGTAATCTCCTCTTCGGTATGTGGCTTTGCAGGTTCTCTGAAGCTGAAGGCTTTTTGCGTACTGCTGGCTCAAAAATTAACTTTTCTCGCTATGCGGAAGTCAGCGCTGTGCGTCCAGGCCTTCCTCGTTCTGGTTTAGTGGTTTCATGTAGAGAAATGTATCCGGGCACGTTCGTGGACACAGTGACTGTTGATTAATCTGTGACGTGGTTTTGTTTCTGTTTTGTCTCTAACCACTAAAGTCGACCTGTCATAACGTGTTTCTGGGAATAAAGGAAATGTGGATTGGTGCGATGAGCATAACACTGTAAATGTAGCAGAGACTAAAATGCAGCTTTCTGGTTATACACTGTTGTGTGGCTGACAGTAATTAATGACGAAGCAGTGTCAATTGAGATATATGGACTTTGAGCATGGCTATTTACAAAAGGGGAAGTGAATTAGATTTTTTTGGGTACTCCTACACCATTATGTTGTGAAACTGAAGCGTTGTGATTAGATTTTTATGTAATTGCACATTATTGTAAGCTTAGGAAGGGCGAGCCAGGCCAAAACCCCCCTCACTGTCCCTGCCACTGTCCACCTTCCTCTTGTGACGTTATAATTAAATACACAATAAAGTAACCGTGGCATGATTCTTACGTAACTTAATTTAACCAGGAAAGGGCCTCGCTGAGATTGAGACCAGCAGCACACAGAACAGAGAGGTTATATAAGACAGACGTTAATTAAATAAAATATGCACTTCTGAAGGATTCAGGGCATTGTTCTTCACTTAAACTATGCTGCGTTGAATTGGTAATACAGGTAGCCTGCCGTGGCCTTTCACACAGCTCCTCTGTGTCTGCAGTACAAGGCTTTCTCTTTGTGGGAGTGGCGGCATTATCTCTGATCTGTGGCAGAGGATTTCTAATCCCTCAGGAAGGACAGGGTACACAGAGGACAGACGGGCTTCAATTACGTGATAATTTACCACAGAAAACGTACATTTCTGATCTATCTACGATTAATTGTAGAGCCCTACACACTGTGTTACCGAGGCCTGAGTGTCAGAATGTCGAATACAGTTGAACATAACATCAACAACAACTAACAAACACAAGTTTTCTGATGATAAAACACTGTGAAATCCAAATTGATGAGAGATTTAAAAATAAAAGAGAGCCCATAATTATTAAAGGCCTGTTCTTGGTCAGTGCAGGAGGGCTGACAGTTACGGTGTCTGGCTTCTTGGTAACGTCCCCACATTGAGTGAAAGGCCTTACGTAAACAAGGCTTTGTTTTTAGCCAAGGGATTCTGCACTTCACTTATCTCTAAGAGAGCAAGAGCGTCGTCCAACTGGGGACTTTGAATTCTGACGTTTCTGCACAAAAAGAGGTTGAAAAACCCGGATTGGCTGAAGTTAAGAGAGCTGTTAGTAGTATTGAGCTAATATGAGTATTTGACCTGTCCTCACACAGCTGGCTTTCTATTTTTAATTGAAAACATTATTATATTATTATTAAAAACATGAACTTATCATAGATCAACACATTATAGAGGTTTTCTTATCACTTAGCAACAGGAAGGACGATGGCATTTTGTTTAGACATGCATAATTATTGCAGCAGTAGTGATAGTAAAACCAAAAGTGTGACTTTAATTCGATGAATCTGTGATGAGACACGAGTTTTAAAGCTGCCCCGTAACACCATCTTAATACGTCTTTGTTTCTCCACCAGATTTTTGTCGCATCGATGATCCGCTATGCAAGGATGAGAACGCCTTTCTCAGCTACGAAGCTATCCGTAGTATCCACAAGCAGATGGACGATGACGCAAACGGCAATGTAGACGTGGCAGAGACAGACGGCGTGAGTAAAAAGTCCTCATCGACCGGAGCTGATGCTCTGTTGAGGTTCTTTCTGGTCACAGTCGGCTTCATTCAGTCTGAAGAGGCTTACAGGTGTCATTATTGTAATCCTCTGACATTTGACCGTAACTTTCACTGAGTAACTGGATTTACACTAAGTTCTGTTTACGCTCCAGTGCTTTTTTATTTGTGTCCGTTTCTGTTTAATAATTAACCTAATTCACGTCAAGTCTGGTTGTAGCTGACACTGATGTTGCCACATTTGTACAAACACATTGTGAAACTGTACAGAATTGTCAAGGTTTTCCCTTTTTAATCCGACCGTGTGGTTTGTGTTTTTAAAACGCAAGAAGAACAGTTTTTCTCTTTAATACAGGGAGTTGCAATGAAAGCTCAATGTAAACAGTTTCCGTTGCAGCTTATGTCCGCTGACAGCTGTTTAATGCTCATCAGAGGTCGGGTCTGTTGAAGACACTGCCTTTAGTCCACTTAGCTTACATCCTGAGTTCTGGTCTAAACTAGATGTTGTGGACTTTAGGAGGCCTCCTTTGGAGCCTTATTTCGGTTTGATTCAGTCTGCCATGTAAGTAAGTAAGTAAAACTTTATTTATGTAGCACCTTTTTGACACAGAGATCCAAACAACAAATAAATAAACACAACAACACCTGGAAAACAAACGAAGGAAGATAAAACAAGAGGGAAGGATAAATTAAAAGAGAGACACCAATGTGGTTGAGGCCGATCAGAGCCGAGGCAGCGTCATCACTGCAGCCCTCTCTGCTTTCAGAAGAGGCACTTGACACGCGAATACCCCGAAGGCAAAGAATCAAGTGCAGTACAGTGAACGCGCACATCTGTAGTGGCTTTGAGTTGAGAAATAGAGAGCTCAAAACGATTAAGAGCACTTCAAGACGGTAGTCCGGCTTCCTGTTCTCATACAGTGATTAAATAAAGAAGAAAGTTGCTTTCAAAGATCAAAGTCTGCATCTGCCTTTTAAGAGCAAGCTTCAGGCCGTGGCTACATTATACAGGTCCTGCTAATTTTCCAATGAATATATCTTCAGTGTGTTATTCCACCTGCAGTACCGACCATCTCTCTACCCTGTAGTGAAACCCTCCCACACAAATCTATCAAGAAAGAAAGGAATCATGACTTATAACGGTCTTCCACCCCTGTTGCATGAGTTGCAGTGGGAGTGCAAGTTGTTTTTAAAAACCTGGTGACTGAGCTAGCCTACAGTATAGTGGGCAACCAGCAGTCGGTGAGCAATACCACTCCAGTGGGGGTGAGAATGTAATTGTGCGCCTTGATGTCGTGTTGTCTCGTGTGCAGGATGCAGGGTTCTTATTTTCAAACGGAGATACCAAAAAGTCTTCTGGGTTTGTTTTGTTACCCTTAACAGTTAGACATTTCTATTATTTTAGGGCATTTCTATCGATGTTACAAGTTGAATAGTAGTTGTCAGTTAAAGCCAACAGTCAATTGGTCGTTGAACGTTATGATATTAATTAGATTGTTTAAATATTCGTATTAACAGCCGCCTGTAAGTGATAACGGAAAAAGTGGTTCTTTGTGTCAGAACAACAAGCAAGGAGACCGAACATTTCACTTCAGTTTGAATTCAACACAGTACAACATCAAGTCTTGTTCAAAAGACGGAGTAAATAACTTCCAACTTCACTGAAACAAACATATAAACAAATACACACACACACACGTACATACATTATAGTTGACTAATTAAGACTCTTCTCGTCGACTATAAGGGGACGGCTCTAGATATTTCATATCTTTGACAGGGTTAGGGTGTATATATGTATATATTATAGTAAATATATCTATATATCTGCAATATCTTATAATTAAGTTCAACTTTTTCGATTGCCGATTGGATCGTAACTCACCGATTGGTTTTGATGACATTAAGGCAATTTAAACTAAGTTACTAAAATAATCTGTGCCCTACTGTGCATTTGAAATGTTCCTGGTGGAGTGGCATGTCCACGCGTTCAGCCCGTTCACCACAAATAAAGAGTGACCTTTAACAAACCAGCTGGCCGATCAGACACCCCACATCTCCATTCTCAATATCCCTGCTCACCAAAACTTGTCCCACCAAGTGATCAACACACTTGTTGTAGTGCAGAATAACTGTTAACGCAGCTGAGGAGAAAGATCTGTGCTACCCTTGACCATTAAATAGTTGGTGAAAAATCTCAGTAACTTTTAGGTCGTGTACAGTTGAGATATTTATGGTGTTTTATGTTTCTTTCAGAGTCAGTGAAGCAAATACACACACATAAGCCACAAGAATTGCGTTTCCTCTTTTATGGAGGTCATAAAGACCACAGTTGTGAAACGGGTCACAGTACAGTGCTCACAATAAATTAGAAACCCTCGGCAGCAAATTTCCAACACAAAATGTGGTCTTTGTCCTCCAGTTGTTCATGCATTTTATTCAATCAACCCCCACTCAGACATACTGTCTGTGGTGAGTAGGATGTGTATTCACAATGATCTGATGGTATTTAATTCATGGATTAGGTGAAGGAGAACTTCTACAACGCAGCACTTGTCAAACTAAGTTAACTAAAGTTATGTATCCTGAGATCGTGTCAGTAATTCAGTTTTTTTTTAGCTTGTATAAGTATTGTAACCACTGCAAACATCCTTGTCCTACTGCAGTTCCTGAGAGAAGATCTGAACTACCACGACCCCAAAGCCAAGCATAACAGCTTCCATGGGGATGACCAGTTCATCAGCGTGGAGGACTTGTGGAACGCATGGAAGATTTCTGAAGGTACTGCTTTGTTGGTTTTTCCCTATAAGGCCAGCAGGGACTCCAAAAACAGGCCTTTCTTTCACATCTTTTCTGTATTTATGAGTGGAGTTGTACACTGTGTGACTGCTAATTGCTGTTATTTTTAATGAAACATTCCTTGTGAGTGTTTCATTGTTGGTCTGGGCATTAGTGTGTTAGTAGCAGAGTTTGTATTTCCCATGTGACTGACACATATTACCCCTGCTTGACCTTCTCACTCGCTCAACAAAGGAGCCAAGCAGTTGATCAGATGCCTTGTCAACCAAAGAGCAGCCTAGTTATCGGCTCCAGCCAGTGGCAGAGTGGACATCATTGAATCTGTCAGCACAAAATTCACTCTTACTTCCTTCTGCCTATCTTTTTGGCTGAGTTATCTTGTACTCTTTGAGAGCCCTTTTCATATGCTGTGCTGTATCTGGCACTCGCACCCTTCACACCCTTTTCCTCTGGCTGCCTTTGTCCCCTTTTTCACTCGTAGTACTGACTTGGACTGCATTGCAGGTTCTTGACAGTGCTCTGGAGAATTGGAGCCAGGAAACTGGGTTTTTGTTGAGGAGAGCAACACATTAACACAGACGGCCCACACTATTGACTGTCTGCCAGGAGCTGGGGAGTGGATTTTCCTTCCCCAGTTAGGGGGAAGCCACTGTATGTTATGTTATAGGATACCTTTTTTTTATAGATTATTCAGAGTTTGGATGCACCTATGATGTACTTGTGTGTCAAGCTGTATATACTGTGCAGTTAGAAAGTGTTGGCACGTTGTTTTGGCTCTGTACGTTGGGTTTAATTAAAATCATTACATTACAGGACACGCAGTATTTAAACAAGTTAACTCAACCTCTGCTACATTCATCATTTTTAATATTTGGTTGCAGTTGTTGTTGTTGTAATCACTGACTGCTGAAGTCTACGACCCACAGACGCCAGTACACGCTTTTTATTTCCCCGTGTGATGCCCTTGCTGGTTTTTGGGACTTTTTGCGTTCAGTCTGTACTTATTACAAATTAAACATGTGATCGGTTTAGCTGAGGTCAGCTGCTTGGCCCCAAGAAAGAATTTTTCTATTTGTTTAGGATCCATTGCGTTGTTCTGAAAAGAAAAGGCAGGTCTGCAAGTACATTGTTCCTTCAATAAAGATGTGTACACCCTCAAACTCAGATAAAAGCCAACGGTTTAACCATTTAGTCATTTCAAAACATTCGTTTGAAGAGAACAAAACCATGAAAAACATATTACTAATACTTTCTGACTGCACCTTGTATGATAGAAACCTATTGTAGCTGTGTGAATGAATGAGAAACCATGAGCGCTGTAACTGTATGTTTTATTTGTTCCTCTTTCCCTCAGTGTATAACTGGACAGTGGATGAGGTGGTGGAATGGCTCATCACCTATGTGGAGCTGCCACAATATGTAGATGCATTTCGCAAGATGAATTTTAATGGAAGTGCCATGCCAAGGTAAGGGCTGTATCAACTTCTCTAAAATATAAACCGTACTAGACCTTTTTATTTGCAGAAGTAAAAATGGAATATTAATAAAAGTGATAAATAATTGACTTGATGCAACTTCTTTAGTGCCATCCGTCAGAAATCCTTCACATTTCCCTCTTTTATAAGTCATTACATTCCCTATTCTGATCAGCCAGTGTCGGTTTTATTACATTTATTCTAATTTGTGTGTTTTGTATCTGATTGGTTGGGTGAAGATTTGTTAACTATAGATTACACCCTTTGATCTTCCTTCGTTCTTGCAAAATGACTGTGTGTCTGTTTCTCTCGTAGGCTCGCCGTAAAGAACACCACTCTGACAGTCTCTATTCTGAAGATCCTGGATCGCAGCCACGTGCAGAAGTTGCAGCTCAAGGCTTTGGACACTGTATTGTTTGGAGCTCCTCTGAGTATGTGATGTTCTCCTTTTTTTTAAATCCCTGTACTCATTCATAAAACATCTGTCTAAATCACAGATCCAGATACTTCAAAACCCTGAGTAGGGATGAGAAGGGGGTTCTGTTTCATTACATTTTTGAGGGTCTTGTCAACAAAAAAACTTCAGTATAATTTTTTGAAAGTTTGGTTGATGGGCCAAGATTTTTATTTGTTTTTAATATTGCTACCAGACTGATATAATCACATACTGTATGGTATTGGTGGTATTGTCATTAAGATACTGATTAAAATGTAGACACGCACTCTTGATCAAAACTAATTTTGAAGATTAGGAATCGTTGACGGCACCCAAAAGGCTTTGTAGTTGTTCAAAAAGAAAGCCCTTACTTTTGGTCTTTAGAGAGGCCTAAAGAGAATTGATTCTTTGGAATTGGAAATATATTGCTGTAAAACATCGGTAGGAAGTTTTGAGTTCTTATTAACAGCCTACCACCATTACCGACATCCTGACCACTGCTGCTCTCATTTTTCATCAGAACTTCATCATCACTCTGTGATATGTTGCGGTTGGGTTTTATTAGCTTTCCTTCTTTCTTTATTTAGTCACTTCATCTACCCACTGACTTGCTCGTTTACTCACTTTAGTCGGCTCATCTTTGGTATGTCGGGGAAATCCTCTTACCACCTGTATCAGTTTCAGAGATTGAGGAAGTGAGCTGAGGGTTGGACCACACTGCTCTGTATTCCAGACACACCCTTCTGCGTACTGAGACAAATAAACACACCACTCGTCCTCTCCTTCTCCAGCTCTCTGCTCCAGTTCTGTAACTACTGATAGTAATCCTTCAGGTTCCTCTGAATGAGGTTTGTCTCAGCTGTCATACCTCTTGGCAGTACTATATATTTTATTTTTTTTACAGAATCTGTGTCGACACATTCCCAGGATGACCGCCAAAGTTCTTCTACTTTATTTAAAGAAAAACGTGTGTGTTGCTTTAAAGCTTAGTTACATTGTGTCAGCTGAATACTGAAATTCTGCATCACAGAGCTTAGAAAGTCTGTGAAAAGTGATAAATAAAGAGTCCTTGAAGTTTAATTGTTTTTGTGGAAGGGTGCATATTTGGAAGAGAGATGTATATGTAAATCAGTAAGGCACGAAAAATGTTAATGAACCTTCATTAGAAAGCAGCCATTTACATTATAAAACAAGCATGTAGTGGCCTGTGTCTGGCATGTGTCATTGAGTCACACCCGTAGGAAGACATTAGCGAGCACTGTCTGGCTTTGACAGCCTCTCAAAGCCAGGGGGTCCCACTAATAGTCAGACTGATACAGCAGCAGCATTTTAAGACACATCTCACAATGGGTTGGTCCTAATCTAATGGACAGTTGTGTAATAATTAACCCGAGCACATTTGGGTCCAGTTATTTCCAGTTTTGTGGTTAATTAAGTGTCACTTCATGCTCCCTTGGTGGTATTTCAGAAAGGCAGTGAATGTGGTGTTCACTATGTGTAAGTACCAATTTACATACACTATAGTTGCGTGATGATAGAAGGCCAACTGTGTTTCCTGTGTCGGACAGATGGCGTTGTAAAGAGCAGTAAATAGAACCAAGAGAACAGTGTGGCATTAGGAAATTATTTCATATCATCTGAGAGATAATGCACAACTTTTCCTCTTAAGCTTCTGTCTCACACACACACACACACACACAATGCAGAGCTGAGACAGATTTAGCACACATGCATTCAGTTTATATCGTGACCTCATTTTCTGGAGTTGTGCTCTCTGTGGTTAAGAGGTAATGGTCTGTATATACCAGCCTATCAAATGCAGCTGAAGCCTAGTTATTGTTCGTACTACTTCAGTAGAATTAAGAGATGGGAGCAGAGGTTTACAGTTGTCCTGTAGATTTTCTGTTCCTCAGTTCTGGCACATACTTTGACACAATAGCAGGCTCAGCTGGTCCAAGTTCCTTGACTCTGATGAACCTGTGTTTGTTCTGGACTTTATAAGCAAGTCTATAGGGATATACACAGCGCTCCTGAACATTTAACACAAGCTAGATACTTGGTGATGTGCAGAGGGTTCATGTGAAGAAAGATGTGTGCTGTGGGTTGAAATTGTTTGGATTTGTGGTGTTATTTGACTTTCCTCTGTCAGTAGCAGCCAGTGGTACAGGGACATATTTGTAAAGAACAATGTATTTAGGTAGGTAGGTATCTAAAGAGAAACAAGCCTGTATTGTCTTTTTCTCCTAATTTTACTTCCTTTGTGTCTCACTCCAGGAAGTCATGTTTTTGACATCTCTTTCCCGCACACCCCTTTGCAGGTTTTGCAATAAAAACATGTCTCGTCGTGTAGCTTGCAAGGCTGAAATTCAGGCTGTCTGTCAGTTGCTGCATGACAATGCTCTTCTGACTCATCAGATGACAAATGGACTTTATTAAACCCAAATTTTAAGATGACCTTTTGTAAATGTTTTTCTGCTCGCTCAAAGTTGATCTGAATCTAATCTGAGGCTTTTTACAGATCTGTTAGCTGCTTCCTTGCTGCTGTGTCTTTTAATAGCTTTGAATCCTTTACAATGACAACATACTATAAACCCCCCCACCACCATCTCCTGCTTCTTCTGTACAGAAGTAATATTGAACCCATTCTCTTGTACTGCACCACCTGCTCTTTCACCATGCTCAGTCAGCACTAGAAAACAAGCTCCTGAAAATCACTAACATATCTTCCAAAATAATTGGTCTCTCCTCTCCCAACCCGCCAGCCCTCATTGACACTGCTACCGCTCTGACCATAGCACACAACACCTGCCACCCCCTCAACCCATGCTTCACCCCACCCCCCCTCTGGCTGAGGACAACCACTCTTGAAAAAACATGCTTGGGGAGGAGTTTTGTGCCCTCAGCTACACTACACTATAATAGGCTTGTGTTGTATTGCTTTTGTTTTTGAAGGTTATTTTTTTTTGTACAGACCGTGAAAACGAATTTCCTCAATTAATGACAAATCTGACTCTGAGAGCATACTCGCACTCAGTTATTCAGAGGAATGGCAGCTAGGATTTGATTCATAGCCCCTCATGTACGAAAACAGTTCTAGTTGCCATTGTTTGGGTTTTCTGTTCATGTTTATTAGCATTTGTTACCAGACTGAAATCTGCTGTGTTAAGCTGGCTTTATCGTGGACTTTTGCAGCAGGCCCCTCTCACCGCAGCCTGAACTTGTGCTACTGACTCTTCTATTTGTGTCACAGTTTGTGTTGCAGAATGACTGCAAGCACAAGCTTCACACCACATCCTTGTGAAGCTTGCTCATTGTTAGACAGCTTCATCTAATGATCTTGATATATCGCCTGGCTGAAATACACCTCCTCTTCTATTGATTTATCTTGTGATTTTGAAGTTTATTACTTGGCTAGAGTGTAACTTGTCTTCTTTATTTCCCTCTTTCTCTTCAGTGAATAGACACAACCACTTGAAGGACTTCATGCTGGTAGTGTCAATAGTCATAGGCATGGGTGGCTGCTGGTTTGCCTACATCCAGAACCGCTACTCTAAGGACCACATGAAGAAGATGATGAAAGACCTGGAGGGCCTTCAGAGAGCTGAACAGAGTCTGCATGACCTGCAACAGAAGTGAGGGTTTTTCCCACCACCCACACAACGAACTGTTATACTCTACAAGCACTGTATTGTGCATACATACCATTAGTTCTCTATTTCCACACAAAACACTTAAACAGATGTATTTATACTCGTGTGTACGCTATAGACTTCAAACTAACTTTAAGAGTATTTTGATAAATGATAATTACCACCCTTAAAACTAGCATCAACCAGTGAATGCTCTTTACAAGTCTTCCATGTGCTGTGAGTTATTCCTCCTACATCTCTATCTCACTGACTTTCCTTTATTCTGTGAATTTAAAGGTGTACAACTCAACACTATCAACTAATATAGTTCTGACAGACTGTTTAACAACTAGATGACGGTCTGAACAACAGCCCTTACCCATTAGTTATGAAGCATTTTGGTGTGTGAAATACCGCCCCTACTTCCCTTAAAGTCAGTATTTTATTTCACAATTTTTTTTCTGGTGTTGGCTGAAGCAGGAAGTCTGGAGGAAATCCTGTCAGTCTCAGTAATTTTACTATGCAAAGATGTGCGAAGATGTTCTTAAACGTCAAGAATTTGCATGTAGTGGTTCTGAATCCTATCTGTATTTGCACAGTCATAACTCATTCATAAGTTATAACTTTCACAGGATTGCCAGTACACAGCCACATTGTTCTGAAATAGGAAGTGAAAAACTGTTAGTGCGGCTCCTCCAGACTCTGCCTGTGATTCATTGGACAGGCCTTTAGACACATGACTCTAGATGAATTGACTTAAACATTTAAACACATTTAAATTAAATCTAAGAACTACATTACCTGAAAATCTCGATGACAAAATGTGTATAATTTAGATACATGAGTGTTCAAGGAAACATCCGTGAGTTTAGGGCTGCTGTTTGAACAGCTGGACTTTAAGCCAGTTTGACAAATCTGTACAACATTGTAATCGTGAGCTGTCATTTTTAGCTCAGTGGGCCATGTTTTAGTTGGAAGCTTCGACATAAGACTTATGAGTCGGCTGCAACACAGCTTTGCTTTCACAATCCAACTGCCAAGTGCAATGTTTTCCACACTTTTCAGTCACTATGCACTTTAAAATGAATCACCACACGGGCTTTTGAAAGGACAACAACGCCGACACAAAAGCACAAATGCATTTTGTGTTGGTGGCTAATCTATTACTGACTTCCTGTTGGGATTAAAAACGGCTCCCTTTGCTTTGTACGCTGCTGATCAAAGTCATTGATAAAGATATAGAATGAGTGATTTTCCATTCATTAGACCAATTCTTACTAAACAACAGCAGACATGCATTAAGCTCGGTAACAAAGTAACACAGACTCTGTGGTGGTGAAGAGATACCTTAGTTCAGAGTCCTAACCTGTGATCATACAGTAGGGTTTGCATAAAGTTTGCCTCGGTCTGTATGATGCAGTGTGGAGCTCAGTGATTTATTGTGTCGAGCAGCTGCTCAGTACTTGGTACTCTTCCTCTTGGGCATCTCGTTTGTTTTCACTGTAGGAAATGAAACAATATTTTCGAATATTTGTCCCAAGAATTGGACGGATGAAATTAGGTGTTTTATTAGGAAAGCACTCCAAATAAAGCTAAATGCATAAAAGCAAATGGTATTACCATGAGGAGTAACTAAAGGTTGTAAGATAAATCTAACTATTTTGGTCCTGTTAATACCTTAAGGAATGCTCAGAATGTGCTTTTAAGCATGCACGGTCTCCTCTTATTCCTTTAAAGGATACTCAAACACAGTTTCATCTCCGGTCAGGGTTTTTTTTAACTTTCAAGAGGATAAGGCATTAGCATGGTGCGCAGATAGAAGTCACAGTGAAAATGACATTTGATGTTTTGCTGCTGATTTTTCAGATTAAACTTTGTTATTGGGCAGAATTTAACATGAAAAGTGACTCTTCAAAAGTGAGATGTTGCGTTGCTCTTGGCCACAAATGTATTGCAATACATAATTGAAAGGCAGTCTGAGAGAATTCCTGTCGTACATGTGTTGGTATGTTGATTAGAATTTGAATTTTGAGTTTTGCTCGTAATGGAAAGCTCAGAGTGGCCAAGACGGAAAGTGTTTAACCTCTGGGGGGGGCATGTTATGTGAGATTAAAAACCAGGGACATGCTCAGTCCCATTCACCAGACAGACTGAGGAGCAGTGACGGACGTTGTCACGTGACTGCATAACCTTAGCTGTTGCAGGCCTCAAAACTTCCAGTTGATCTTTCTACCCTCATTACCCACATGAGCTGCTCTTACTTTGTATCAGCTGGCTGTTTAGGAGAAAACAGTTTTTTGAAACATGAGACGATATGCTCTGTTGAGTATCAAGAGACAAGAGAAAACACCACACGTGATGTTTGTCTCAGTCTTGGATTCTTAATTTTCTGTACAGTAACACCTATTCTTACTACACTGTAGTATCTCCCTCATTCTGTGTACCCATATTTTATATATATATATATATATATATGAGGTTTGTTTCTGTTCTGGAGCAGTCCAATAAGGGAGTGGAAAGTTTTTTTTGTGGGATTTGCCTGCTGAATACCAACCAAAAGATCCATTGACTGCACCGGCCGGAACAAATCATTGAGGTCAAACTCCTCCGATAGACTGCCAGGTCAGTGTGTCTGTGTCGCCTCTGGGACTTTACACTTTGATCAGTGGTTAAAACAGAAGTGCCACTGCAAAGTGTGAAGTTTATATTCATTCAGCAATATAGTATAATGTATCTGCTACAACTTAATAGTGTTGTGAAACCACATTTAAATCTAATCTGGTGTGTAAGAGCTCAGAGAAAAAAAACAAGCAAACTTATTGTCTTGTGTCTGTTTCTCATAAAGTAGAATATCATTTTAAAATGACTATTCATTATACAGATGATTTGCAGCAGCTTGTGTATTAATCTTGTGTATTCATAATCAAAAGAAAATGTTAAGCAGAAACAGTCCAGCTAGCTTATGTATCTACTGCCAGACACAGTTGATTATGATCAGACATTTCATTTGTTAAGCATTAAACTGTTTTAAATCAGATTCTCCCAAAATGTGTTGCATCCTGGACAGCCAGGCACTGTGGGAAGGGTTATTGTATTATATTGTAGGTCACTGTGACTAGCAAGAGGATACTTTCATCTCATACAGTACTTGTTTTTGGAGCTGAGCGAGAGAGGTATGTCCTCTGTCTGTAGCCGTGCCTTTCTTCCTGATCCCTGCTGCCAGCTGCTTTCTTTCCATACCTTCAGGCAGATCCTTTGGTATCAAGTAGCCAGCCACAGCTTCCCTGTTGGGGGACAGTGGGAGGAGGCTGTTTGACCCGGCCTCTGCCTCACCGGTGGGAGATGGTGTTAAGCATGGCTGCTTAACATGTCAGCTCTACTGCTAATTCACCCACATTTGGATTGGGGTGTGGTGTGCAGACAGACTTCCTGGAGAAGGACTAGCAACAAGGACAACACCGTAACAACATGTGATTGGCGTTAAGAAGTTTTCTTAGTGTTGTTTAGTGGAGTAAGAGAAATACAAATGTAATATTGGTGTTTTAAAGCCTCTGGGGCATTTACCTTCTCCCTCCAAGTCTGCAGAGACATTGTGTCTGCATCCTGTGAGCCCTGCAATGCAGGTCAGTTGAAACGTTTGGCGTCTTCTCTCTGAGCATTGTAGCTCTGCCAGTGCTTTTGAATCTTAGCTAGAGAATGGCAGAGGTCAGGGTGAAAAGCATTAGCAGGACTGCCCACCACCCACATTTTCCATAGCTGTCTCCCTGGATCACCTTTCATTTCTCTGCTCCTTCTGCTGTTGTGTTTCGCCTGACAGGAGGTCAGTGCCTCTCCCTAGTGACTGAAATATAGTACTGCTTCCTGCCCTTCAGTGTCTGGAGACTAAAAAACAGGCTTTTTTGTTGTGTCATAAGCCTCAGTATTACATATTAGGACGTGGGAATTCCATTGTTATTATTGCTTAGCCAGACAAAGGGCAAAGTATTATCACCTGAGAGCCTAACCTCACATCAGAGATCCAATTAAACTGTTTATTTCTTGGTTTAAAAGGCATACTATAATTATACATACTTGTTAATCGGAGTGGATTAGGTATTTTTTACACTTTACTGTATGTTCAAATGGCACAAATAATTATGTCATAGGTGACAAGCCCCCCCCTTTAAAAGTAGACTTTGTTTAAAAGGCTAGTCTAAAAATATCCCACGTACAAACCAACACATATATTCTGGATACTACAGCAGCATTGGGTGCCGCACTGTACTGTTCTAAAGTTACATGCTGGCAGCTGTTCCCATTCTTGGCTCTTCCCCCTCTGATGTCAGTTTATTGTGAGCTGCCTAGCAGCAGGCCATGGCTCTTTACTTTCTACATGTTAGCCATTGTTTCTGGTCATGCTTGGGTGATGCAAGTCCGTCATTCCACACATACATGGCACCCGCATGCTTACACGTCATGCCTGGCCACAGAAAATAATACTGGTACCTACTACGTTTGTTTTGTTTAACCTTATCAAAGGTCCACGCGTAACATTTAGGAGGAGCTATTGGCAGAAATGAAATATAATATTCATTCAGGTATGTTTTCATTAGTGTATAATCACATGAATATAGGAATTGTTGTGTCCATTACCTTAGAATGAGCTGATTTTATCTACAGACAGGGGTCGCCTTCCAGGGAGTCCACCTTACTGCTAGGACACAGCCACTGAACAAACTAAACTTAAAAATAATCCTTGTTCTCAGGCTGCAGATCGCCCAGGAGGAGCACCGTACAGTGGAAGTGGAGAAGGTGAACCTGGAGCAGAAGCTGAGGGATGAGATCAATGCAGCCAAGCAGGAGGCCCAACGACTGAGGGAGCTGCGGGAGGGCACAGAGAACGAACTGAGTCGCCAAAAGTACGCTGAAGAAGAGCTGGTACAGGTACCTGCAAAGTGACACATGTGATTTAAACATAGAGTTTGGAGTAAAACTGAGGGAGTGTTTTTATGAACTTCCGAAAGGTGACAACTGCACAGTATGTTTAGGTCTTTTGGATTCACACTGGCTTTAGTATAAATACACCCACTGAAGTCTTTGTCCATTAGGAATTTGGCAGGAACAGCACAGCCCACACAAGCGAGCAAAACACACAGCAGTATTTGTTTAAAGGACTATCACAGTGCTCTAATTCAGACACTTTTTACAAGAGATAAATTGGAAACCTGCAAGGCTTTCAGATTCAGTGTGGCTGCAAGACGCTTTGAGCTTAATGTTCAGTAGTCACGGCCAGTCACCACTTACGTATATTCAGGAGGCAAGTGTCAAGATCCATCAGTCCTTAGCTATTACCTTGGTTTTAAGTTGTATATGAGTTTTGTAGTATGTAGATTTGAGACATGTTAGGCACTCAGTTTTTGCAGTTGTCCTACTTAAAAAAACAAATAGAAAATGCTAAAAAAATAAAATACACATTGCCAAGAATGTGTTGCTAGATAATAGAGTTTATGGGTGTGTAGTTTTTCTGTCAGCTAACGTGTGAAATGTTTCGCAGGTGCGCATGGCGCTGAAGAAAGCAGAGAAGGAGTTGGAGTCACGGAGTGGCTGGTCTCCACCAGAGTCTCTGCAGAAGTGGCTGCAGCTCACCCACGAGGTGGAAGTGCAGTACTACAACATCAAGAAGCAAAATGCTGAACGGCAGCTCCTGGTGGCCAAAGAAGGGGTAAGCACGTAAAAACTTAAAGGGGAATGCCATACATGCTGTTTAAGAGAGTTGTTACTTTGATCATAGGACAAAAATCTGTGAATTCCAAAGCAACTATTTCACAAAGTCATCAGAGACCTAACATTTGAGACTAGTTTGTCCATAATATCTGAATCTCAGCTTGATTGAAAGAAACTGGATGTATAATTCAGTTGACGTAATCCTGATTATTGTGAAACAGCTATTGATGCACCCTTGAATGCTCATCGGACTGTTGTACCTGGGAGCAAGATTCCTCTGGAACATAGTGTGTGGATAAAGTGAATATTAGCAGAGATAAATGTTGGGTCATTTGTTTTCACAGGCAGAGAAGATAAAGAAAAAGAGGACCACTCTCTTTGGGACTTTCCATGTGGCGCATAGCTCCTCTCTGGATGATGTTGACCACAAAATACTGGCAGCAAAGTAAGTCAGATTGTAATGGTGGAATACGTTTCGTGGAACAAAGAAATGGTCAAATATTTATGTTTGGCCGCATTCGGACAGGATGGACAATACATGGGGTGATGGGGCGTGGAATATTCACTTTACACTCACATTACAGGAGGAGCAGTGAGTTGGATGAAAAACATCAAAACGTCAGTGATTGCATTAAAATCACTGACCAGCACAATGTTAACCCACTTCCCCCAGAGAAATAAATTCAGTCTGAATGGGGCTTTAGACTTTTGGACGTATTGTGAGTGTGAGTAATGAGTTACATTTCCTCTTCACTGACTTTGCCTTCTCATCTGTCTCAGACAAGCCCTGGGCGAGGTGACGGCTGCTCTGCGGGAGAGGCTTCATCGCTGGCAGCAGATAGAGATCCTCACCGGTTTTACCATCGTCAACAACCCAGGCCTCCCTTCTCTGGCCTCGTCCCTCAACCTTGATCCCACCTACATGGGTGGCAGAGCTACACCTCAGCACTTCATCATGTCGGACGACATGGACGACATGGACGAGGATATCGTGCCTGGAACTCTGCAATGTAAGAGTTCATCCGAATCTTTGGGGAGTAGCAAACGCACCCCTAAACACTCCAAGGCCCAGCTGGGGAAATCCACAAATCAGTCCACATGAGAATTTGGACCTTTAATGCTACATTTAACTGAATTTGTCCTTGTGGCCTACCTGGTGATGTAGGTAGTGAGGGTCACACATGTCTGTCTGTGAATGAGTGTTTTACATTTGTATAATGTGTATCATGTAAATTCACTTAATTGTCTTGTTCTTTTACACACAATTCCAGTTGAATGCCTTTTGTTGATTGTTCTCATTTTGGATAAAAGTGTTTACTTGACTCTCAGTCGATTATTGAGACTGAAGACCCCTGTGACTTTCCTTTGGAAAATGAACTGTCAAGAAAAATATACTTCTTAATGAGAACAGTTTTTTGTGTCCTGATATTTGCTACGGACCTTTTTGAATCTGTTTTTGGTCAAACAGCTGCAGCCAAAGGAAACATGTTATATACCATCAATTTAAATTCATATTTAGGTTGAATATTAGACACAACACAACTGTCCATTTTTCTGAACCTATTTTGTACAAAACCTATTATTTTCATTGAAGGGTAAACACATGTCACATATCTTTATCTCATAGAGCAAACCATTATCAAAACCATTTGTAGAGACGTTAGGTTCCAGTTTGACTAACTGCAGGTCAAAGTTGTACTGCAGAATCCGACAGCAATAGTGAGTAAGTCTTTTAATCAACATTAATTGCACTCCCTATCTCACTCCCCTATCTCACTCCCCTCTCTCCCTCCCACCACCTCTCTGGCATTTGGCTTCCACTGCTGTCTCAATGGCCTAACTACAGATGGCACCCGACTGTTGGAACGGCGAGCCAGTGACCTGTGGTCCGTCGGTTCAGACTATCAGCCCATGTGGAAATATCCTGGTTGGCCATTTATTTATGCCCCAGTTCAGTCCTCAGTTTGACATCCCCGTCTCTCCCCTTGACTCAAAGCCACACAGAGCTATAATACATTTTGATTGGACAGTGCGCTGCCGATGGACACAGCTGAAAGGGAAAAACCACTCCATGCTGCGTTCATCTAAAAACACCCCTGACCTTGCCTTAGTTGCTTGCTTGCCACTCCCTCCCTCCTCTAAATCTTGCCACCACCCAGTGCACCCCTGCTTTTCCCCATAGTGATTGGTCACTTACTTTTATTGTTAATAGGCAAATTATTGTTTAATAGGTTTTGTTTTATTAATATAAACAATATATCATAGTTAATATTTTCTCCTTTTGTTTGATTTAATACTTTTCCTTCAAAGGAGGAGAGATAAAACAGGAGCTTTGGGATTGTATTGTAATGTAATAATGGTGTGCAGTATAAAGGCTAAATTAGTAAATGGGATTTATCTTTAAGACTTAATCGTTTTTCACATTTTAAGTCTGTTAAAGTGAAGAGAAATGCATCCCAGCACCTGAGTATCTTTCCACTAATCTCCCAACTGGTCTCCCCTTGTGCTTCACACTTTTATTTCATGATTGGTTGTTCATAATGCTGTTGTTTTGTGCCCACAGCTCCCAGTATGATGTCCCTGCGCCAACGCCACATTGACCCCCAGCTCGCCATGGGCTCCCAGAGGTTGGTAGAGAGCTGCCTGTTGGCAGGGCAGCAGGGAGAGGGAACCCCATACCCATCCAGGTCTAGGGCTACCTTCAGACAGTCACGCAGCCAGTCGTTTGGGCAGCTCGAGTGTCTCCCTCTACCTCCTCTTTCCTCGGCTGTGTCTCACCCTTCCATCACATTTACCTCCAGCCTAAACCCTCAGCCCCCGTCCTCCTTGTCCGCCTCTTCCTCCTGCTTACCCAGCTCTGTGGGTGGCGGTGTAGCCCCTAATTCCTCCCACATATATCATGCTTCCTTCCAGCCCATGGACCCCATTCCTGATTTCACCTTCTCAGATGTCTCCAAAGCGCACTCCTCGTGCAGCGGCAGCTTTGGGTACCCGTCTTTTTCCAATTCTCCACACACATCGCATGTGCGTGGGTGGTTTTTTTTTATTTATTTTTTTAAACACGTGTATCGTAGCGTAGGTACCTTCTTCTGTACGCCGTGTTTGAGTCCATTTTATTCTATCATGCTTTCTTTACTTTTCATTCCTTTTATTCCTTTTGCTTCACATCATTGCAGCTGATGAGGCATTACAGAATCTATGCATTCACTTTCTCAACCTCTCTCAGTGTTCCTGGTGTTCTTTGCCTGCTCAACTAACAAGTGTGGAGTTCCAGTATCCAGGCTGTGGCCAACGTGTCCCCACTGGGTTTGCAGGCGTAGTGTAGATAAAACCCCAGCATGCAAAGCTTCAACTTGAAACTAGGTTTTTTTTTCTCATTTCCTCTAACTCAAGTTTTTTTCCCCCACAGGGACCTAAATCGCTCCGACTCCGACTCCTCCCTCTCCCTCTCCCAAGTTGGTGATCGGCTATCTGCCTACAGCTCCAAAGGCCACCTAATCAAGCCCACCACTCTCATGCACGGCCTGTCCGGTCGTGCAGATGACATCATCTCACTGCATGCTCACACCCCCAACGGAGGGAACCGTATTCATGAGGTCAATCCAGCAGAGCCCACCCCCGACAGCCCCATACTCATGAAGAACGTGTACGCCATGGAGAAGTCGCCCAGCCTGGGAGAGATCAACAGCCTGTCAGAGTCCTCCCGCTCCCTCAGCACCAATTCCACTGAACCTGACACACCGTCACCAACGGGGGGAGGGCAACCAGGGGTCGTGGGGGCAAAGGGCAGCACCCGCATCCCGCAGCTGTCCTCCAAGAAGAGCCCGCTGGAGGAGGACAGTGGCTCTACAGGAGAAGACACAGATTCCACTGCCAGCCGCAAGAAACATACCTTCAAGATCTTCAAGAAACAGAGGAAATAAGGGCTACACGAACTACAGGCTATCAAAGCTGTTTGACTGTATTCCTCTGGTCTGTTTTCAAAAAAGAAAAGTTTTTGGTGTTCATTAATTGTCAGATGATGGCACAAGTTGTTGCCGTTTCGCTTTTGTGTAGGTACAACACCTACTCTGAGTAACTGGACTGGGAGCAACCAGCTGTTCAGTTTTATCTGCTTATTGGGTCAATGTTGAGTATATGGGGAAATGGGTAGGTTTGTAAATTGGAATGTAAAGTATTATTTATTCTGCAGGAAATTGTGCCAGTCTCAAAGGGAAATGTGTCTCCCAGTTGGTTTTTTCTTTCTTGTTCTACAATCTATAACATTTTGCATGTGTTCACTTTTGTTCGACTGATACTCGAATGCTCTTAGTGTTTGCTTGGTTCTCGTCGTTAACCTGCTTAGACAACACTTGATGTTTCTTTTCTTACTACCTAACCACCTAGCCTACAAATCCAAAGTGAATGCGCACTCCTTTTTTCCACCGAGTACTTAGTGTTTTTATTGATGTTACAAGTTTTTTCTGTCTTTTGTTGTCTTCTTCTCGGCAGAGCAAATGACACAGTCAGAGGATCCTCAAACATAAGAGTCGTAGTAGAAAACTCTGACTTTATTTGTGACACAAATTTCCCTTTTGGCTGTTAAAAAATGTGTCCAGTGTTGTTTGAACGCAGCACAGCAATAGTAGGTACTGAGACGTAGGGGATTGCAAAGGCTTAACAATAATTTGCAACCTGAATGATATTAACTTGTATACAGAAGACAGTTGGACAAGAGGAAAATATCCTCACAAAATGACACAGTGACCCATCACAGTGCGGCTTTAGACCTTTGGCTTTATTTTTAGTATTTAAGGTTGAGTGCATGTGAGCATGAGAGAGTGAGAGAGCAGTGCTTTGCTGAAATGTGCAGCTTTTAAACAACGCCAACAAGTCGAACAAGTCTTTTTAAGACCTTGGCTAATGTACCTATCCTTTCATTATTAGGCAGAAATGTTGTCAAACACATATTTACCAAAATGTTAAACATAACCGTCTGAAAATACCAGAGTAACTGTGTGAGAATGAGCTTTTAATCTGTGTATTGAATTTAAAAATGAGTATACTTTGGATAAAGTTTACAGTATATACCGTGAAACCAACATATTTATCAAAGATGTTAACACAAAGCACATTTTTATTCACAGCTATTTAAAAAAAAAAAAAAGGACACGACTATGTTTTGTTTTTGTAGATTATACTTGTAATAAATGGGATGTTGGATAAGTAAAATCCAGCATTTTCCACTAATTGTACATTTGTTGAATGGGGTGCGAGTTTAACTTGGATTTTGGGTCCTGGTATCCTCCGTATTACCGTTTCTGTTTGACTGATTATTTAGGTGGACAATGAAAACTTCACAGCAGTTTGTCAGCGAGGCATGGGTGCTGGTAAGGGCTATAGTTACAAGGCAAACTCATTTGCTCCGTATAAGATGGAAATTTTCGAGTTGTAACCACTTTGTTATCCACGTTTTTATGGAAGATTTAGCTCTACAAGTTCTGGAAGCTGAAGAGCAACGTCAAAGTGCCAAATCCCAATTTCTGTCAGAGGCCTTTGTATTTGTAGGGTTTTCGGTCCTTTGAGCCCCTGTTACACTGAACTCAAAACCCCTATATATACAGTCTACATGTATATCCTGAGTTTAAACACTGAATGTCCAAGGGTATCGTAACCGTATCCTCAGTACAGTATGTTTACATTTGTTACAGATGATTACTACAACAAAGAACATTGTGCCAGTTTTAATATTGACAGCTTCGTACGAGCACAGAACTATGCATCAGTAGTTGTAGGTGATTAGATTAAGAGTAGTAGGGACACTTAGGGTGTTCCTGACCAATGAGCAACCAAAAAGTGCTGCAAAAGACACAGTCGGCCTCCCCCAGCCTCATAATGTAACAGGTGGTTTGGATGTTTAAGACATGTTTAAATATTTTCCTTTAGAAACCAGTTAAAAAAATAATATATCAATTTCCTACTGGTAGTTTTTTAAAGTGTCATTTGTACCTCTTTTGCACGGCAGAGCTGTAAATGGATTATGCCATCTGAATGTGTGCGAGTGCGTGTGTGTCGTCTGCTCCCAGTATAATGCACTGTAATGTTGATGCATGTCAACTGCTGTAACAAAACTTATATTGGGTTAGAAGAGTGGATCAGCTTAAGCTCTTTACTCCCCCACCCTTGTTTTTCTTTCTCTTTATTTCGGGCTTCTATTTATGAATACAAACAGTATATTTGTACAGAGAAAATGATAATTTTGCATCTTCTGTGATGGTCTAGACTTTTATGGCACTCCTGCATGATAGCAATAAACTATTTTGAATGAAAGGTGAGCTGATTTGTCGTACATTTTACACCACACATATACACATGTTGCACTGCATTATTGCCCCTCTCATATGTAGAAATAAAGAAATGTAACTTCAGCATACTGAAGAATAGATTTGCCCCAGAACAAAGTAATTTAAATGTAACTGTCAAATCTCCATTGTATGTTAAGTGTTACCCAGTTCACAACGCTCCACCCTAACTGCACTGTGTATACAGTAATTGGGTGGGGCTATGTGCTGTTCAATATTGACCTATGCTTCAGTGTAACTGAGGTGGAGCAGGATGAGGTCCGGATCTTGAGGCTTCTTGTTTCTTTGCAACTTGGAAAATCTTTAATGGCGAGATTAATGAGAACACCGTGTGAACCGTGGATTTCCAAACACTACAGATACATCTGTGTGTTTTGTCTCAGTGTGCAGGTAGGAGCAGGTTTCCCTTCATAATCCGTAATACTCTGGTCCCTTCAGGTGTCATTAGCAACTATGTGCATGTCTTCTTCCTCATACAGATAGTCTCGGGTTTAGACCAGGTGACACTCCTGAATCCTCCAGAGGAGCCTGTGTCAGACCATCTCTTGGAAATACTTTACTCTTGTGATCAACCTGCTACAGTGCAGCTGGACTGTATCGTATCTTTTGACACCGGCATCACTTCCACACTCCTGCTAAGACAGTGGAGCTGCCTCCCCGATGACCCTAAAATAAGGACCCTGGAGCTGAATCTGCCGGATTGGTTGGTGTATCAAGCTGATGGGATTGTTCCAGACTCCCAGTGGGTGCTGAGTTGTATCCTGCTGGCGTCAGTCAGATATAGTGGATTTGATGACACTGAGAGGTCTGTCGCAGCTCAGGATGCGGCAACTTTGCAACCGAGGCCTTTTTTTAATCGACCTGTAAAACAGCATCCACTGTGCATTGCCTGGAGCACAGAAATGCTTCAGTTAACGGGGTTTTCAAAGAAACAATGCCCCCTGGAGCAAGGTAAGGTCAGAGAAGTTTAACACTGCACATGTGGATAAATGTACGAAACCCCACAGGAGGCAAGTGAGACAATTCTGGTGACACATTTTTTAAGTCTGATCTAAATGGTTTTCTCTCCTGTGTTTATGACTTAAGAACAGATAGGAGAAAAAAGGTTTTGGCAGGTGAAAACAAGATTTTATTTTCAAGTGTTAAATGTTATACTCATTTTGGTCAGAAGAGGAAGAAGTGAAGTGCACCACTACTCCATGTTCTGAAAATTATTAAAAGCATGTCCTGTTTTCTTCCAGGTGAGTTTTAATTTCTCTCAGCACTGATTAAAAAACATTTCTAGCAAAAAGAAAGACGTGCCAGCAATGTTAACTTGGTAGAGTGAACGGTGCAATTAAAACTCACCTTGAAGAGAATATGAATAGAACGAAAACACTCCACAAAAAAATCACCTAGAAAAACCTATTTTTCAACTTTCTTGAAGTCATAAGCACAGACCCAAATCAGACCTATAAATTGGATAACCAGAAAAACGTGTTCTCACAAAAGAAAGTGAAGCTATGAGGAATCCTACATTTTTTCTGTCAATATTTCAGACTGAGAAAACAGAGAACTTTTCAGAGACACAAATACAAATAAATGACTTTAGGATGTGCAAGAAATTTAAATGTAATTTTCTATTGATCTGTAAAGGATGATCATGTTTTAAGATGATTGTTATGGAATAAAAATCCTGTAGTCTTCCAAGTCTCAACCAAAATAACAATCTCTATTTCATTCAGAAACAGTGCTTTTGCTGTCTTCCATATATGCTTCTACTGGAGAAGGCTTTGGTATCACAAAGACACTAGACCCTTATAGCAGTGAGCTTCTGGAGTATCTGCGTCTTAAAGCCATCTCTTTTCCATGGTAAGACCACCAAAGTCCCACCGGCTAAACTGACCTTTCTATTATGTTATTGCAATAATTATCTAGCGTTAGTTAACCAAGTTTGTGTTGTATTTTTGCCAGGTGTATGTTCTCCATATGGGTATTTGTGACCAGTCACTGCCAGAAGAGAATGTGTGGCTTGTTTTACCACATAGACCCCCATAATAACTACGTCACACCAACACTGTTCCTCACAAATTCAGGTAAAATTAAGATTTCTCTCTAACGTCTCAGATAGATGTATTATGTGATAACACAGTGTCTTTATCTAGACTGACATTACCTTTTCACCATGTACAGGTCAGCTACACGTTCAGATCAGTGCAGAGTCTGAGGAAGCCTCTGCATTTCTCTCTCCGTTCAAGGTGCCTTTAAGCGAGTGGTGCCAAATCAGTGTGATGTTGCACGGTAGATTGGTGAGTTCTCTCTCGTTGACAGAAGATATCCTCCTAAGTGTGTAAATAATGCTCATAATGAAGTGGTCAATGTCACTGCATCTCAGGTGACTCTCTCCATGGTGTGCATAGACGAGGAGCAGAGAACGGTTTATTCTATAGAACACATGTAAGTCTGCTTTTGACAGGACAAAATGATGAAACTATATTAACATCAGGAATACAAATATGACTTCAAGTGTTCTTTGTCTTACAGGTTGAGGCATACTATCATGCTGGATGACACAGAGGGATATTTTGTGATTGGGGGAGGGAAATACATACGAGGTGTGGAAGGTTATTACGGACCACTGGTTTACTACCGCAACAGAATATCACCTCACAGCCCGGTAATGTACTGCACCTGCCCACTGTTACTGTCAGTGTCGACCATTCGCTACATTTGAGTCTGATCGTTTTCCCCTTCTCCAGTCTGAAGTCGTGATTCCAGATGTTATTAGGAGTGTGAACCTGACCGGATGGCTGCAGACCTGCCAGCCGTTTCATCTTGATATGACTGTCAAAATCAGTGGCTATTCTCTCAAGGCCAAACAGAGGACAGAGTCTGGTAGTACGCTTATATCTCCACTAGATGGTGCCAAGATGACTGTAACTGAAATATTCTCAAGAACCCCTCTGCATAGCAACTGAAGGTACAAAGTAACTGTCTATGTTTTTTTCAGAGACCTGTTTTGATGCTTTCTATGAGTGGATGGTAAAGGACAGACTGCCATCAAAGTCACAGTGCGGGCTGTGGGAGGCGATTGTTCCTCACAGAAGACAAGCTGCAAAACTGGCCAAGTTTTTGGCTTTTAAATATGGTGAGAGATAAATGGCACAAACTAATTCATGTAGCACTGATACAACATTTCCAGAGGTGGAAAGTAAGAATAAATGTGTTCACTTAAAGCCCCTACAAGGCATTTTAATTTTGTGTTGATGCTGGCGTAGTAGTGTTTCCACTGCCTCGTTCTATTGATTTCAAGAGAAATACAATCGAATCCAACCCGGTGGCAGTATTACTGTACATACAGCAGATTGTATATCAGCTTGTTCCAGATCAAAATGAAAGCTTTTTATCCTAAATTAAAGCTCATTCCATCAAATAGAAGTCTTGCATAATTTTACACACATTTGTCTTTGGTAACTTTTGGATCTCCACTAAAGTTCAAAATAAGATCTCTGGGTTTGAACAAAGTTTGGCTGCACAGTATGCGTTTGTAATGACTGTAATGACTAACTTGTTTGTTGAGAAAATACTCATGATACTATTATTCTACTGAATATTCAACGATGATATCCACGTGTTATCTAATATAAAGTGCTGAAATCAGTTCACTTGCTGACTTGCAGGTAAAAGAAGAGTTAGCCTGCCAGCTGTGGGCAGAGCACTGTACTCCTTATCACTTCATAAGCTGGGCAGAGGAAGCAGCACTGAAGTGGTCAGCAGAATATTACCGCTGCTCCTCCAAGCTGGCTGCTTAGCTGATAACCGAGCTCTGCACATGTCGTCTGTGCTCTACAGCAATGGCCTGGGAGTCAAGAAACAGCCCAATAAGGTGTGTTCTACTGGGTCAGCTGTGGTGAAACTATGCCAGTGGCGAACATGTCTAATTTTTTATGTTCTCTCATGCCCTTGTGTGTGGTACAGGCTTGGCTCCTGGCCCTGCTGGGAGCCCAGAACGATGATCGATTAGCCCTTCTGCATCTTGGGCACCTGCACCACCAGGGTCTCCATGGCCTCCCCACAGACCCAGACCTGGCCTATGCATATTATGCAAACATTGCTAAGCAGACAACTTTAGACCGTCTTAATCCCACACCGCAGCAGGTAATGTATGCATTTGAAACTGGAGGCTAAGTTCTGCTGTTTTTGCACATCGTTGCATATCTAAAAGTGATACAGTGCTACTTTATGTTGTACCAAAAGCTCATGACTGTGACTTTATTACAACATATGAGCTGATATGTGATATGGTAATACATTTTCTGCTCCCCTTACTGTGGCTATTGTTTTCAGATATCCATCATTAATAAGTCACTTATTGATGTGTTGTCACTGCTTTCCATATGAAGAAAGATAAGAGTATGATAAATCTGGTAATATTACAGTGCTCAAAAGTGGTTTAATAAAAAGCACAAAGCTGTGTTTCTGGACTATATGCAACTGTTTTAGGAAGGTAGGACACAAAAGAAAATATCTTCTCTTTCCTTTCTTTTTGTAGACCTTTGTTGAGGCTGTTTACCTTAACAATGATGAAGTGTTGAATGTCCAGACCAATGAAGACCATCATATTTTCCAGTGGCTTAAACTGCAGGCACGCCGGGGAGCAGCTGAAGCTGAGGTACCCTGTTCTGTCATGGAACAAAAACGGAAAGTCAGATAAATACAAGTACATCACACATTTCAAGAAATTCAGTTTAAAGTTTTTTAGTTATGTCTTTAAAGTACTCATTTCAGGTAAAAGAAAGGTTTTATCATGTCATTTTTTAGTAGTAATTCAGCAACTGTTTTGCAGCAAGCAGTTGGTCGAATGCTGTTCTGGGGTCAGCAGGGAGTGTCTCCAGACATCCAGAAGGCTGTGAGACACTACGAACGGGGAGCTGTCCAGTGGGAAGACCCAGTGTCAATGTATGACTACGGCATAGTCCTACTGGAGGTCAGAATTACGTCTGATGCACAATGAGAAACATGAGCATTTATATCTGAATCTACTGAATGAGTATTCCTTCTTTTGTTATCTGTGTTATCTCCTATTATTAAATATTAATTGGTGTCTCTGTAGGGGCACGGGGTTAAAAAGGACATTCCGAAAGCTGTCACTTTCTTGAAGAAAGCAATGGACCAGGTTTTGTATTGTTAAACTTTCATTTCTCCTTCATCATGTGTTATCTAGACTTACATTAGGAGTTCTTTTTCTGCAGAATTCAAAGTTTATACTATGTTCTCTTATAATATTCTGCACCACAGGGTTTTGTTCCTGCAATCAATGCCCTCGCCTGGTACTATGAGCGGTTTGAACAGGACTACAAGCAGGCAGTGCAGCTGTGGGAGCAGGCTGATGTCCTCAATTGTCCAGATGCTGCTTTGAATCTTGGTGTCGTGTACTCGCAGGGCCTGTATCCAGGAAAAGCTGCTGACCAGGTTAGCTCAAATTTAAATTCCTTCTGTGATCATCTACTAATATACTAGTCTTGAGTGCCTAGAGGTAAATCATTTGTCTTTCTGACAGTTTATGGCCTATAGGTACTATCTGAAGTCTGCAGAGAGAGGGCACATCAGGGGAGCAATTCAACTGGCTGAGATGTGGACCACTGGGATACCCGGCCACATCAACAGGCGTCCATCAGATGCAGTTTTGTTAGCTACTTACCCTTTTTATTTCCTTCACTTCAGACATATGACTTCCCCTTCTGTCATGATTGAAATGTCTCTTTAACTGACTGCAGGTGGGTAAAGTGGACAGCTGAGCACAATGGATACCTGGGCAGCGTCTTGCGGAAAGCCTTGGACTCATATCTCAAGAATGACATGTAATCTTTTTTTCTATTCACACTTGCCATGATTCTGATCAGGCCACTGGGCTGCCGTTGCAGCAAATTAACATTGTAGCTTTTCAACAGGTTCAGCTCACTGTTATATTACATGATGGCTGCTGAGTGCGGGTACGCTGCTGCCCAGTTCAATGTGGCTTATCTCTGTGAACAAAATACGGTGAGTTATCTGTATATTAGCTGTGTTATGGTATTATTACTGTTTTATTAATTCTTCTTTACTCTGTATCATATTTATTCATTCATAGTTTGGCTTTCTGGATCCTGCTTTTGCATCAGACTGTACGTGGAGATATTACAACCTTACAATCCAAAGTCAAAATCCTGACACCTATGGTAAATAACTATCCTTTAAGATGCCAGTATTTGAAAAATAGTGTGCAAACATCCACAACTAAAACCTTTAACTTTTATTGCCTCTCCAGCCTTTATAAAGATGGGTGACCTGTTGTATGAGGGGCATAGTGATGGGCAGAAAGATTTGTTTTCTGCAGCAGAGATGTACATGCTGGCAGCACTAAGGAATGAGCCACAGGTCTGCTTCTTTTAAATTGATTTTCTTGCTTCAGGTTTGTGTTTATTCCTAATTGTGCGTGTGTGTACGTGTGTGTAAGCCATACTGTTCTTCCACAGGGATGGTACAACCTTGGCCTCCTTTCTGAAGAGGGTTACAGGCTGCCGCTGTCAGTATTGACTGAACTCGGCCTTTCAGAGCTGTACCTGGCTGACAAGAGTTTGCTTCTAAGTGCTTTGTACAAAAGGTGTGTTTGTGTACGTGCAGTAGATTGTTTTCTACATAAATCTGTAAGAAAAGTAATTCTATATTTTCTTCCAAAAGATGCAGAGACTCAGAAGATACAGATTCGTATCTGCCTTGCAGCCTTGCCCTCTTCAATGTGTATCTTCAGTCTTTCCAAAAGGACTATAGTGCTGCTATTAAGGTTAGTGTGATATGCTTAAGCTACATTTATACGAAGCAATTTATTATATATATTTTAGTTATGTTATTGTGTTATTATTATTGGTAAATTAAAATTCAAGAAGCATTTTAGTTTTGGTCTTTAGGTGGTTGGGTGTTGCACATGCACATGCACATGCTTACATGCATCTGGTTTTGCTTGATCACACCTCATTTTAGCCTTTAAGATCTGAAGGTCATGACTGCTGGGGGGGATTCATAACTGAAATGAAAAGATTTTACCAGAATGTACATCTGAGAGTTGATTTAAGCTATTAATGACCTCGTAATGTGACGCAACACTGACAAATTATATAAGGAGAAGATGTATTAAGGATTTATTATTTATGCACTTTTTCCAGGCTGCTGGATCATTTGGGTCGGTATGAAAATTAATATTAATAACTGGCACGCTGCATGTCATTCCGCCATTGTCCATTACATTGAACCAATGTTACATGTATAATACACCATCTATGCATGCTGGCATGGCACTGCTGATCTCTGTGTAACATTTTAAATAATAAGATGAAACAACCTTTTGTTTTCTTGTGATAAGGGGTTGATTATCTCATTTTCTCAAGAGAACAAAATAATTAACTGATGATCTTAATCTCATGAATTTGCAAGCACGGCTGTTCTTGGTTTCTGTTATTCATCCATTGCAAATGCTGACGTATGAATCTGGAACATTTATCTGCTCAACATTTGGCTGAAGCACATGCAGCATGTATAATTTATTTTGTAGCCGGTCACAAACTATTATATTTTCTATTCTAACATGTGTTGTTGAGCACTTTAATTCATTATAATGCATCACATTGTGTAAGATAATCATATAAAAAATAATAATTGAAGATAAAATTGATTAATTCCTTAATTAGTCCTTATTGCTGTCAGATAATGTAATACAATATTTCCCTATGAAATGTAATAGAGTAGAATTATAAAGTAGCATGGAAAATACTAGTGAATAAAGAGTACCTCTGCACTGAACTTCAGTAAGGTGCTCGAGTAAATGTAAAAAGTGACCTTCCGCCACTGACCAAAGTACAGCTGCAGGTCAGCAGGAATATCAGACTCAGCACTTTATTGTGATCATCTTGCTGACATTTCGGTCATGTTATTTCCTACAGTTCTCCACTGCTGTTGCCGTGGTTGCAGCTCCAACGATATTCTTAATCGTCCTCGGTGTGCTCAGGAGACCCGCCGCGTCCCTCAACTAGAGATTCTCATCAGGATCTTCAGTGCAACAAACAACAGCAAAGTCAACCTGCAGGCCAACGACATGGCAATATTTTGTGCTAGTTTACATACTGTATGTTTACTATTGGATGACTGTAAAGAATAAATGTGATTATTATAAAAATGCATATTGTTTTTTTTAGTACGTCTGACATGTTGTTGGTTTGTAAGTTTTTTACCTTTTACTGTGATTTTTTAATGAAAAGAATAACTTGGTTGGACAACAAAGAGTCTGAATAAGAGCCACGTGACTTACAGTCAGTTTCAAGATTGGTAGATCAAAGATGTTGTTCTTGTATGTCCTTTTGTCTCCCAGTGTAATGATTCCTTTACCCTGTGGGAGGTTTTACAGAAATTCAGGTAATGAATTCCCAGGTGTAGTCTCACCTCCATCACCACGTTATACTTCAAAGTGCTTACTAAACAAACCCCTAACAGGTCATCTGGACTTGGGTCTTACATATCGTTTTCCTGTTTTCTGTTTTGTGTGGACAGATCTCCCACAGTTTAAAAGGTCAAAATTTGATATTGTAGAAAGAAAATTAGGACAGAACAGTACAAATGAATAGCTTAATTCAGAGATGTTACTCCGTTGACTGTCAGACTTGCTTGCTTTTATTGTTTTTATCATTTGTTTGGTATGACGTGCTATACAAATAAATTTGCTTTGCCATGGCAGATCTCGCACGTCACATGACTTCAGAATATCTACGCCATATGAATAATGACTTCAATCTTACAATAGATACAACAACCTGAGTAGAAATATTACACTTTATGAGGGAGATTTCCATATGTAATATCAGAGATTTAGTTTAAGATACTGCATTATCTGGAAGTCGGATGTTTAGTTCTTGTGGCCTTTGCGTATTGTTGGAGCTGTCTCTGTTTGTGTGTATTTGTCCCAAAACAAAATAAAATTATTGCTAAAAAATCAATCTTGTGTATTATTTTCACATAACACGCTGCTGCTCCTCAAGTTTGGAAAACAAGTATGCCAGAGAATTTCTTGCAATTCATATTTCACCAACAGAACTCAAGTAAGCAATTAGTTACACTTCTCATGAGACCAAATCCACTCAACTCTCAACATCTCATTAACACCGGCAGACAAGTTTAATTGCTTTGCTTCTGTTTCTAGGAATTATTCAGAATTTGTTTGGCGGTTATGATGGTAACAATGGGATTAAAACACTCTGACATTTGTAATTTCAATCACTTTTCAAAGCAGAAATACACTACAATACATTTCATGAGGTTCAAATGATCTTAATTAAGAAAGGCACATGGCAGATGGGTGCACACTCTGGGCCTAATATCCTCACAAACACTTCAAATGCACCGAACCTCCTTAGAAAAACAGGCTCTTTTATTAATAACCTTACAGAGGGAACGTGGTTCCATATTTCTAGCTTAGATCCTGTCCATCCTGACCATGTTTTTGTTCCTGACAATCATTGCCCAGACACGCTTCACCTGGCATCGTGTGACTGTGGCTACCACTGAGAACACTAAGGTCATGTCCTCAGCATTTTCCTTTGTAATTTTCTGGGGGATGCAACCTGAGCAGTGTACATTCTACAATTAAAAAACATAATACATTGTGTGTTTTTGTAATTTGATTCCTACGACAGAGCTACTGTCTGTGGAGTAACAATGTTTTGAGAATAAAGTCAATTTAATAGTAGCTACTGTACATATGGACTGTCAGGAAATGTTACAAACATGCACATAAAACAAAGTATATCCAGTCAAATCATAACATACAACATTTTGTTCTCAGAATATCACAGCCTTTTTCTTATTGTATTACTGTGACTTCTATCTTATAAGATTGTAAGATAACAGTATTATATAACAGTTTTGTTTCCGAACAATGGTCCTTTCACTCTGTCTCAGTTTCCAGTATTTTTAGAACCAAAATATTTTAATTTGATTACGTTTAACCATAAATAAATAGATAAATTCATAGTTGAGGATGTTTTTTTCCAAAGACATTGTATTAATTGCAGTATGAAATACAATTTGCTGAAACAGAGCAGCTGAATTCACTAGGAAAAACTTTTTGTAGAAATCGTTACTTATAACATGATAACATAACATAACATGAATGGCTCCACTCCACAGGACAATGCATTCAAAATGGAAACAGTATAATAAAGCGAATAAGAAACAAAATACAAGAAAAATAATTGACAAAAGAAGTATAGGCTATAAATTCACCAGCTTATTCCTATATATAGGCTATATATATAATTTAAACAAACAGTGGCTTTATGGATGTGATATTTCCGTTTCTGCGCAGAATGAAAGTGCGAGTGTTTGGGTAGTTACCATGGTGATCACTCGTGATTACCTCATGGCTACGGCGTGCGCATGACGTGACCAATTAATTAACACCTGGCAGAGAGGTGAGGTACCAACAATTAGTGGTTCCCTTTAATTTAACTGGAAAAACAAACTCAGTCACTCAATGTGTTTCAGCCCAGAGGCAGAAAAGTAAGTGAACATACTATAATGTGATAATGTAATACATATCTAAAGCATTAACTATTAACTTAACAATGAACTTTGCTAAGTTGCTAAGTGCAGTGGAGGTCGTTAATTAACAGCTAGCTTAGCTTAAGCTAACGTTAAATTACATTGTGGCAACAGTGTACCTAGCTGTATTCATTTACTTTTCACTAGCATGTTTAGCGTCGACAGGTTTGGAGACTTTACAGAGAAAAAGCGCTGTAACTTAACACTAATAAATGCCATTAATGATATTACGCTTGGATCACAGATATAACGTTAGTGAACAATACTGAGAGATGTAGACTTCACTAACGTTACAAAGCTACAAAGTGCCTTACATGGCTGGAACCAGAATTAAAAAATGTTGATAAAAGATATAATCCGAACAATTAAAATCATATAGAAGTGAGGAAGAATAAAATAAAATAAAATCCTACCAATGAAGATAAAACATTTGAAAAATTGACCCCACTGGTGCAAATAATGTCAACAGGTGAAAATATACAAATTAAAGAATAAAACAAGGATAGCTTATGATAAGAACAATAATACTAGTAAATATGAGACATTAAGCAGCGTGCTAGAATAAATAAAAGGCTTTTTTTTATATAGAGATATGTTTTAAGAAGTGATTTAAATGATGTCCTGACTCAGCAAACCTGAGACCCTCAGGCAAGGAGTTCAAAAGCAGACTGCAAAAGCCCCACAAGTCCCTTTTTTGCAAACTTGAATTGAGAGGTAGGAAGAAATACTGTATGTGTCTTTTCTAATGATAGAAATGATAAGTAACCCAGTTTCATTCAGGCTTAAATGTACAGTGATTATAATTAGAAGTAGAGTTTAAAAATGGTGTTGATGCTTCCTATTTCGAGTGAATTCCAAGGTGATGGGGGGCTTATGACTAATGTACCTTTTCTGCAGCGAGGTGCAGTCAGCAGGGAGCGTCCTTCAGCTGCAGACCCGGGTTCAAGTCCGTGCCTCAGCTTATGTTTTTAGTGGAAGTTGCTAAATTGTTAGAATCTCGAGGGGATCTCGCTGAGCTCCTCTCTGCTCTGCCCTTCCTGTCATCAAGGGCAGTGATGTTGTTACAGACGGTTGCTGAAATAATGTAAAAACCTCATTGATCTGCCCAAAAGTGTTTTTTTATAGCCCAACAAAAGCTTTATTTTTTAGGCGGTTATTGATATGTAATGGTGACAATGTTCCTAATAACCTCAAACTAACTAATAACCTCTTGCTGCTTATTGGCCAACACATACGCCAAAAATCATTGTTTGGCTTGAGCTATCTCCAGTTTTCCCGCCCTGTGTTGTTACCACTGTTTTGCTGTCTTTTATTGATTTAAGTCATGTGACATCTATCCAGCTCTCATCCTTTGATAAAGAGAAGCAGTTTTGCTCTAATACGTCTGTTTTCCTGCATTTTATTGTGAGTTTCAGATGTTTGTATTACTTTGTGCATTGAACAGGCTATAGGGTACGCTGTCTACTGCTTCAATAAGATCCCACATAGATTGTGATTTAAGTGCGCAGCAGCCAGGCTTGTGATTTGGAGCTCAAAAGCTGAAATGCGAACGAATGAATAGAAAAGGAAACAGCCGCACTGAGGGAATGTGAAATCAAATTAGTTTAACTCCGCGATTTTTACTCCGTGCACACTGGCTGAAAGCAGCTCCTGACAATCTACATTATCAAAGCAATCTGTCTCTTTTCCTTTTCTTCTCATTCCCATCCATTGGTTTTCCTCTCCTTTTCTTTTTTTTTCCCTTTCCCCTCTTTTTCCCTCCCTCTGTCTTTGCAGATGGGCTATTTGGCCGGAGAAAGGGAAGAGAGCTGTGCCAGTTGTGTACAGCGGAGGCAAAGAGAAGAAACTCCTTCAGGCAGCAGTGGGAGCTGGACTCGTTCGTGGGATATACAGAAGAAACACAACACGGAGGTGCAGACACAGTACAGGTACTACGTGTGTGTGTGGGCGTTTATGGGATGGGGGTGTAATCAATCTGTAGCTGTTATATTATGAGCTCTTAATGATTTATTTTTAGAAAAATGAAAGCCTGCAGTATATTTCTACAGACTGTCCTTTTCTGAGACTCACTTATTTGTACATATTTCAAAAGTTAGTGACAAACTTCATAAGAATATAAAAGTGTTTGTTAGCTCTCTTTATTGCTTCATGTTAAATCTCAATGTGCCTGCATTAAGTTTAATCAGCACAGGAATTACATGTTTGTGCTTAAAGATGTGTTGACCAGCATTTTTTCCTCTGGATTTTCATTTTGTAAGCTGAATGGCTGAATGGTTTTTCAGCTCTGGTTAATGTTTTGCTGGGACTGTATAACTCATAAATAATCCAAATAGCCTGCAGAAGGGGAAATCTGTGGAGTGAAAACCTGACCATTTATTTTACTAGAAATGATATGCAGTAGATGATGATTACATGATGCTAAATGTACTGTATGTTCTCAGTTAATTACAATATGAGCATATCTGTTCCACCAGACACATGAGACGGATGACTGAAAAACATGGCTGAAATGCCTCATGCTCAGACAAGCCGTAGCTTGATAGTGGGATCGAGAGTTATCT